ATTATCCGACGCATTGTGTTATTTGGCCTTCCTCTTTTTCGCTTCCCTTCAAGATTCCAAGTTATGGCTTGCTTCGTGATGCAGTTTGACGATTTGCGTAATGTATGTCCTATCCATTTCCATCGTCTTTTCCTAATTTCCTGTTGAGATGGAAGTTGGTTTGTTCTCTCCTAGAGAAGGCTATTGCTGATGGTATCCGGCCAATGGATGTTGAGTATCTTGCTTAGACAGTTATTTATAAATACTTGTACTTTCTTGATTGTGGTTGTTGTAGTTCTCCAAGTTTCAGCTCCATACAGTAGAAATGCCTTGACGTTCGTATTGAAGATTCTCACTTTGATATTGACTGACAGGCTGTTGTTTTGAGTTCCATATGTTCTTCAATTGTAGGAATGCTGTCCTTGCTTTGCCGATCCTCGCCTTTACGTCTGCATCTGAACTTCCTTGTTCATCGATGATGCTTTCTAGGTATGTGAAGGACTCTACATCTTCCAGAGTTTCGCCATCAAGAGTGACTGGATTGCTGTTCTCCGCTTTGAATTTGAGGACCTTAGTTTTCCCTTTGTGTATGTTGAGGCCTACTGATGCAGAGACTGCTGCTACACTGGCTGTCTTCATCTGCATCTGTTCGTGTGTACGTGATAGGAGGGCTAGGTCATCTGCGAAGTCCAAATCGTCTAATTGATTCTGAGCTGTCCATTGTATTCCGTGTTTTCCTTCAGATGTTGAGATCTTCATAATCCAGTCGACCACCAGAAGAAAGAGGAAGGGAGAGAGTAAACAGCATTGTCTGACTGCGGTCCTTACTTGGAATGCATCTGTCAGCTGTCCTCCATGCACTACTTTGCACTGTAGTCCGTCGTATGAGTTCCGGATAATATTGACAATCTTCTCAGGAACTCCGTATTGTCGAAGAAGTTTCCATAATGTTCTCCTATCCACACTTGCAATTTAGGCAATTAAAAACTGTATTTATTTTGAGCAAAGATGAATAGTGGCTAGCAGTGGAATCCAGGACACGCGTTTCGTCCCATTCGGGAATCGTCAACTAGACGTACCTGAATCTCAGAGTTGATGTTCACTCTGGGACACGAACCTTCTACCGTTCGCTTAAAACGCCATCGCGTTATCCACCTAACTACTGAGTCCTGATAGCCACTTGATTGTGCGATGGGGTAAAGTTTAAATTTACCTGGTATTGTTTACTTGAATCTTACCATTAATCTTTGGGACTGCATTTGGAAGATTTAAGTAAACAATACCAAATGAATTGTGTTCATAATAATTTTCACCAATGAAAAGAATCATACTGATATTAAACATCATATTTTATAACCGTAAATCCTCTGGGAATAACTTCCACGAAATAATCATCCATTGATCTTATCTTATTCATTATTATCAAGATTCAATTATCATTATTCAGTGTATCATAATAGTATATCCAGTTACCGTGTATTAATTTGAACGAGTAATTACCATAATTAAGTACATTTAATATTGGATAACCAGACTTTATCAAGTACGATCAAAAAGTAATGTATAACCATCATCATAATGTATACCTAAGGAAGAAAAACATATTCAGTGACTCGTAACTTCTGGTTAGCGTTTTTCTAGCGACTTAGTTTTCTATGAAATGGGGTCGCTAACCCCATTCCCAACCCGCCTCCTATACCCGCGCAGTAACTCTAGAAGTGTTACAGGCGTAGTTAGTAACTCGTAAGGATGTTTTATAATAAAATCGAGCAATTCAAAGACTAAATGAAACTTAGTTAAAGATTCAGTAAGAAAACTGAATAAAAAGAAATATCATACACATAGTTCTCTTTATTATTTAGGAAAGAGTAAGAACAAAGATTCTAACAGAATAACATGAATTCATTTTTATTTCGTAGGTTCACGTCAGCTACTTACAACCTGTGATATTTAAAAATCATAATTACATAATGGGTTTAAATTACTTACTGAATATTGTAAATATATACCTAATGTGAAAGAATATTCTACAACATTAATTGTGACAACAGTTCAAAAATGGGTTAGAAACAATTGATTACATAATGAATAAACATTGATAGGAATATAGTGATTAGAGTTCAGTTGAAAGATTATTAATTTGAAAGATAGTTGAAAAATATAACCAATGATGTAGTAAATACAAAAGAAAAAACATTTTTTAAGGTTCAGCGAAAGAATATTTGTCACCAAGGCAAGGAAAGATTAACCACCGTCTCCTTTTGAACATATAGGTCAAGTTTTTGACGCTTGATGGCAACAGCTTCAGCAAACTTCCGAAGACTGGAGTTTGATTGCTTACTAATCACCCTAATCACCGTTATTCACCAACTTGAGTGAAGTCGATAAATATACATACGAGGATAGGCGATATATATATATATATATATTTCAATAGCAAACATAAATGATTTTTGCTGGAGTCAGATTACGGGCCAATAAAATGTAATCCTATTTCTTTCTATTTTTTTTTTCAAATGAATTCGATCATACCTGTAAATCGTTGTAATTTCTTTAATGATATTCACAACAGATATCTATACAACTATATATACAACTAGTATATCAGGGAATACCTAAAATGATTACGTTTAATGGAATGATTAATGACAGATGTAACATTATCCAGAACAATGTTATAAGTTGAAGTGCCACCATTTGTATTAATATAACATTTATATATGTATACATGAAAAGGGAACCATTGATAATACTACATAATGGAACTGAAATAATTAGAATTTTTCATATGATTAGATTACATCATAGATATTAGAAAATGTCAAGTTTCTCTTTTAGTTTGTTGCAAAAATTATCCTTTTATATATTACTACTGAAATATCTGATATCAATTGTTGTTTATGCTATGATGGACATAAAATATGAATTGATTATTTAGTTAAGATATATGAAGTAGATATTAGACTGCCTATTATTCCTCATGGAGGAGAATAGGCCAAACACCAGCATTCTCCATACAATACTGTCCTGGACAATACTTTCAAGTTGTTATTCATCAATTTCGTATCTGATTTCATTTCCCAACGTAATGTGTTATTTGGCCATCCTCTTTCACGCTTTCATTCAGGATTTCAAGTTAGCGCTTGTCTCGTGATGCAGTTTGATGATTTCCTAAATGTATGTTCTATCCATTTACATCCTCTTTTCCTAATTCCCTCTTCAGCTGGAACCTGATTTGCCCTTTTCAACAGAATGATGTTATTGATGGTATCCGGTAAATGAATGTTGAATATCTTGCGTAGACAACTATTTATAAATACTTGTATATTCTTGATGATGGTTACGGTAGTTCTCTTAGTTTCAGCTCCGTATAGTAGAACTGTCTTGAAGTTGGTATTGAAGATTCTCACTTTGATATTGTCCGACAGACTATTGCTTTGAGTTGCATATGTTCTTCAATTGTAGGAATGCTGTCCTTGTTTTACAGATCCTCGCCTTTACGTCTGCATCTGATCCTCCTTATTCATCGATGATGCTTCCCAGATACGTGAAACATTCCACATCTTCCAGGGTATCTCCATCAAGTGTAATTGGTTTAGTTGGTGTTCTCCATGTTGTATTTGCGGATCTTGCATTTTGCTTTATGTATGTTGAGGCCTATTGATACAGAGGCTGCTGCTTTACTGACTGTCTTCCTCTGCATTTGTTCGTGTGTGTGGGATAAGAGGAGTTGTTCATTTGCAAAGTCCAAATTTTCTAATTGATTCCGATCTGTTCACTGTACCCCGTGTTTCTCCTGTGATGTCGAGGTCTTTATAATTCGGTCGACGACTAGAAGAAAGAGAAAGGAGTAGAGTAAATAGCCTTGTCTGCCACCGATCCTCACTTGGAATGCATCTGTCAGCTGTCCTTGATGCCTGATTTTACACTGAAGTCCGTTGTATTGCTAAATAGAGTATCACCGCCCGATAGGCATGTAAATCAGCTTGATATGTAGTCGAAGTGTTATTGAAATGTTAACGAAATCACTCAAATGAATTATTTTATAATAAACTTCATCTGTCGACTAGTGATCTACTCGAGTTTCTCCATGATTTGATTTAAACAATAGACATTCTTAATATTTTTTTATGGAAAATGTTGATAGATGTTTTTAAGGAAATTAATGAAATTGCATAAGCGTAATTATCACGTACGCTTTGATGTTCAGTACTATAAGTGTTTATTGAATGAAATCACAATAAATTAGTATCAAGTTCAATGATCAAAGTGGTTAAGTATCAGTATATGTAGATTTGTGGAGATTATAGAATTTTCATAGTGTTAATTATGGACTGATTCTAGCTAGATGACTATTGAAAACCAAGAAATAATAGACGTCCACTTCGTCTTAGTATGGGACTCCTCAGCACTGAGCATCTACAACCACGTCAAACGAAATCGAACCTGGAACCTTCGACTTTACATGTAAACGCTTAGTCTATAGATTACTAGGCCACCATCGACATTGATTTGTTCTTGCTGACCTGTGAACCACATGTGGAGGAATTCAAACACTTCACTCCCACCTGAAGATTGTGCTAATGATGTCATTCAGAAGAATGGTGAAAGTTCCACGAATAAACCATTTAGTTCAGAGAAAAAATCTCCATCAAAATCATCCACCTGAGCTACAAATCTTTTCTACCATCTTCAATGTAATATGTCTGATTATATTGGAGAGTTCTGAACACCGAATACGAGAATATTAGTGTAAGTTCGTCACTTGTCTATATATCAATCTTCAACCGTTTTAAAGATCATTAAAAAATCAATGAGCATCAATGTACACCAAATATATTCAATTACAATGACTTACTACTCTTTCCAGATTAATTATTTTTTCTCACAAGCTAGAAATTGGAAAAACTGCACTATATGTTCACATGAGAAGAAATTTTCTAGTAGGATTAGGATAACTCAGATAAAAATTAAAACCCACTCATCACACAACCAGACAAAAAAATCCTTGTCATGAAGATTTAGTGAGAAAGATTAAGAAAAAAGACCATTTTAAAGAAGCATCTAATGCGTATAAATTGATTTACAATTAGCATGGTAGTAGTAGTAGTAGTAGTAGTAGTAGTAGTAGTAGTAGTAGTAGTAGTAGTAGTAGTAGTAGTAGTAGTAGTAGTAGTAGTAGTAGTAGTAGTAGTAGTAGTAGTAGTAGTAGTAGTAGTAGTAGTAGTAGTAGTAGGAGGAGGAGGAGGAGGAGGAGGAGGAGGAGGACAGAAAATTAGCCTATTAAAACAAACTTAAAAGGAAAAATGAGTTTTACCCACGGTGTAAACGAAAGAAATCATACATAGGGAATTTCAAAAACAAATAATAAAATAATACCATTTCTAACAAAAATGAAATGCCAAGTTGATAAGTATCATTTTTAACATCACAGCATGAGGCAGCCTGTTTGAATATATCAGAGCCACCTGTTTCTTGTTTATTTTAATGCATCATTATGTCTATTAATCACATAACCTATTCAAGAGCGTTTATGTAAATTGTATCTCCTTTCATTGTACAAGTTACAAAAACACTTCAAGCAGAGATATCGTGATTGCTGGCAATATGCATCAAAAACAGTATACATTAATCAAATATCTATTCCTAAACAGTAAACATATAACTGACGATCAATCAATATTTATCATGAGCATCCATCAAGAAACAAGAACAGGAAACTTGTTGAAGTATTGTGTGCTGGTAATTCCATATTATACCAAAAATATTATTATTATTATTGTTGAGGTGATCCAGAAATTGCTTGCAAAAGACAAGCAAGCATCAAGAAACACTAAGGAGTGATTCGTCCAATCAGCGTTCATTTGGAGTCTTGGCCAGAAATATCAAGGTAACGGAACGTCACATGCGGAAGCTCTGATTGGTTGGCTACTACAGTGCTACTATGTTTAGTAGCATTCCAGAATATTCCAGCGACCCGAGGACATTTAGATATATTATAAAAACCCTATATTTTCTGTAATAAAACGAACCTTGGGATAAAGTATTTTCTCACATCCTTGTGTCTTCTCTCTGATGTTCAAGTCGCTTGGGAAATAAATATAGCTTTCAATCGATAAGACTTATCAATTATAATTATAAATGATAGGCAATCATATAGATACAGTGGAGTTCAAGCGGGTTAGTTGTGAGACAGTAACTCACTGATGACAATGGTGGATGTGTCGTCGAATTTCGTGGATTAGTTAAAGTTAGACATTAGCACCGTAGGATGCCAGCCGGCTGAGTGGTCTTGTTGGTTAAGTGGTCACGCTCGACTGATGGGTCCTGTGTTCGAATGTTGCGAAGCGGTGTCGTGGATACGCACTGCTGAGGAGTCCCACAGTAGGACAAGTTGGCCGTCCGGTGCTTCCAGGTTATCCATGGTGATCTAGATTCAATTGACTCATGATCTCAACTGTTTGAAAAAATAACAATCGCATAGTTTTTGCATTATGATTTACATGCCATGATCTCTCATTCTGTCAGCATTCAGATACTTTGACAAATAAATCAATCCATACACTGTGTTCATTTAACATTTTCAATCTTGTAATCAACAAACAGATTATAAGATTCTTGTAAAATAAACTATATACAAAGAAGGATTTTAAATTAAATAGAAATATAGGAACATGTACTACGGTATATCAACATCTTAAAAGTAGACAGCGTTCAAATTGAATAGGTTGTTTATATTTGGTTTCTAGAAACAAAAAGGATCTATAACCATTTGTGTTTTGTTTGAGATCACCTCTTGCCATTCGACACATGAAATAGAGAAAAATCATAGAAGTATTACAAGTGAATTGTCTCTGTCCATCGATTAACATGTCATTACAACCAGAAATACATTACAAGTGACTAATAACTTATTGAATCGACGGTCAATCTCGTTAATTATGACTATTATCCATTCGAGCATTTTCTATACAATTATTTAAACTATCCTACCCTTTGATATAATTCTCTGCTCTATGGTTGTTTATCATTTCCATAAATGAGTGAGTAAACAATGACTTTCTAGTAGATAGCTTCTTTACGAAGTACACGAAGACAATGCTGTCCAGAAAGATTATGAAAACTTCACAAATAAGTAATAAAACTCAGAGAAAGCAATGTCACCAAAATCACATCATTCTAGCTATAAAAAGTTTCTTCACTGTCTGAAATATTCAGTAATTATTCCCATCAACGTAACTAAAAGCACATGTTGAGCAAGGAAATATTTCCTTTATATTAGTTCATCATCTAGGCTTTATACTGATATATATGGGTTTTACAGTTAAGAATAAAAATCAGTCTAAAACGGTAATCTGCTAAAACCACAACAGTAAACCATCTAGGCTTAAAATTTATAACCCGAGCAATACAGCTCAATCCCGCTTCACAGGAGAACTAGACACCATATGGGCTTTAACGCTACAATCAGAATAGTAAAGCTCAATCCTGTGGCGCAACCATACAGGTACCAAGCATCGTGGTGGACCATTTATATACACATCCACGTCACATGTATGATTATTCTGATCAATGATCGCGTGAATAAATTATGCACAGCATGAATAGGCCAAACGTGACCTATACCGCTTACACGACAGTCAAACTCATTAGTGTTAGAAATGGTGAATGAATAGTATTACTGGAGAATGGTTTGTTGTGCTGTAAACTATTGTCTTCTGTTTCAAAACAATATCGTTTATCTTCTGTTAGATATATCATACTGGCATGTAGTTTGTGTTTTGGGTTTATAGGCTCAATTATCTACAAAGATGGAGTATATGATAATTCCCGCTTCATTCTGATTGGTCGCTAAGTAGACTGCTACGATTACGAAATCAAGTTGAGTTTAATAGCAGCCTCTTTTTCTCCATAAAATATGGAAAAAATAAAACAGAGGTTTAGGAGACTGAAGTAAATTATATTCTTTAATTTTCTAGTATCATGTGATGATAAGTCCTGAATGAACTTCGTTTCAACAGTAAGATAATATTCTTTTAACCACAATCGCTTTCATTCGATATGAACATCTGGATTTCAGTGATTTTGTTTCCATTTTTATAAACGAACATTTTTCTAATATTCGTTCAACTTTTATTATCACGATGGAATTTGTAAAGATTTTAGTAATTTAAAAACTTGAATTCATTAGTTGATGTAAGCTAGACCACCAATGAAAACCTCGAAGTACTGAACGGCTGTTTCGTTCTAGTATGGGACACCTCAGCAGTACGTGTCTACAATCCTGCATGTGAAACTCGAACTGTGGACTTTCGGACTTACTCGCGAACGCTTAAACTATGGACTACTGAACTGGCATGCAACGGTGTTAATGTCTAACTTCCACCGACCCATGAATGTCTGAGCAATCATTAATCTAGTGCTTCTAGGTTTTAAATGGAGATCTAGCGTTCCTTGGACTTATGAATTCACTTACTTACTTGTTCAAGCCTGTTGCTCCTTGTGTAGGAGCATAAGCCAACCACCAGCACTCTTTTCACTTAACTGAGCATTACTCATGTTTACTTCTAATTACTGTGAACTGATTACGTAAATACTTATTTCTAGATTTATGATCTCTATTCCGAATAAGTTAAAATCCTATCACTCGCTGATTACTTCAGTTTAGTTTAGATGATGTTGAAGGGTTGAAATAACGGTGGCATTCTGTATATGAATAGCACAAAATGGTCGACCAGATTACATTCAGGTTCGATTTTCTAGCATACACCCATAAGTAATCGCTGGATAATTTTTAAAACATTTTTGTTTAAGGATCACTTCAATAATAGATTGTTGCTCTGTATTCTGTAGCTAAATAAAATTTCTGCGTTTTTATGGTGCTTCCTACCTGAGAATAATGGTAGTAGAATTACATCAAATAGGTCTAATATAGCTTCAGTAGACCTGTACGTTATTTTTTTAACAGAGATTGTTAGATCAAAGGTTCTTCGGTTCGGCAAAATTCGAACATAGCTTCACGAAACAGAAATCTCACAAAACAGATGATAGTTACTCATTACATTCGTTAGCGAAAAGAAGGAAGTTGTAGTGAACGTTGAAAGTAGTTTTATGTTGTTTTTAAATTCATGTTCGGTGGTTACTGTGGTTATTGAAAAGTTTTAAATTACTGGTTAATCACTTACTTCAGAAAATTAATAGCTATGTGACAAGAACCCTCAACAAGTAAATAGGAATTCCGTTTTCCTATGGTATGTCCGATTCTTGACAGATTCAGTAATAATTGACTTCAAGAACGACATCTGTTTGTCGATTGTTATTATTATTTCATTAATTATTCAACGAGGTTAATCATCACAGTTGTATGCATACAGGATATACCAAGGTCTTGATCCATACAATTGCGGAACAACAATCAATTATAATGCAATCATAATTTATGATAACATTGTGATAACGATGATGTATAATAAACTATTCACTGAATGTCAACTCTTTTTCATATTTACAGCAATACGGCCTGTATTGCTAATGAGTGAGTGTTCACAATTGATTGCGTGTCTAGTCCTTATTAGTGCAGATCGAATGCTATCGACCATGTTGCAATGTGGCCACCAGCCTACGTGACTCGACACTCCGTGCACTATTGTGAGATTATATGGTGGCTGGAGGTAGTCAACAGGAAACCCTGGACCCGGGTTTCGTGCTACTTGGCACTCGCCAGCAAGGTGTACCTGTAATCTTGAAGGAACTGGTGCTCCCTGGCGGATTCGACCTCGGGTCCAGGGTTTCCTGGACCTCCAAACACCATCTAATGAGTGAGTGTTTTTAAAAGTTTCATCTCCAGCCGTCTTCGGTTTCATAATGTAAGTGTATGGTGTAATTCAATTGCAGTCAAGCCTATGCTCTTGGAACTCCAGTTTATAATCTAGTCACCCGTCTATCAAGTTACCTTAAGCAATAGGCTGGCAGTGTACCTTAAAGATACAACACTAATGCAGTTTTCATCATTTTATTTTGAATGACTCCTAAAGTTATTAAGTATTTAGTATCCCATTAATGTGAAATTAGTCAAAGTACTTAGCCCAGCACAAGAAACCGGCTGTGTACTTCATTACTGAATATTACCGTAATACATTTCGATTAATTTGTAGAAAATTACATGTAGTTTCCTCAATCAATCAAGTTTCTCAGTTAGGAACTTAATTATTATGGTACATTACTTCATGGTTTCTCTGGATCAGGCATACGAATTACTCTACACTAGCTAAATCGACTAAATGTTTGAACGTCAAAGTTACAAAGTTAACATTAGCTAAACTCAGCTCGAAGATTGTTTTCTCTTATTTTAAATGATTAATGACTGTATCGTAATATCATGC